GATGGAAACTAATCAAGGAGAGAAGCAACCTAGAACTAAGGAGAAACTTCCTGACAGTTAGAACAATTAACCAGTGGAACAACCTGCCTCCAGAAGCGGTGAATGCTCCAACACTGGAAGTTTTTAAGAAGAGACTGGACAGCCATTTGTCCGAAATGGTATAGGGTTTCCTGCCTGAGCAGGGGGTTGGACTAGATGAGCAGGGGGTTGGACTAGATGACCTCCAAGGTCCCTATTATTATTATTATTATTATCATCATCATCATTATTATCATTATTATTATTATTAAAGTAATACTCTTACCTTTGAAAACGTCAGGTGGGCAGCATATACATTTAATAAGAGCTGGATAAAAGAAAAATCAAGAATGAAAGGATTGTGGGGAATGTCTATTTATATTCTATTTCTCTTCACACACACACACACACACACCCTCTCCCTTTTCCATCTAAGGGGGGTTATTGTCCAATAGGTCAACATTAAAATTACGTCTTCCCTTGTCCGGTTCTACCTTCGGATGGCTGCACCTTGCGAGACCTTGCCTTGCCCTTTGCGTGGCGTGTTTTGTCGTTCCCTGCTGTGACTTTGTCACATTTCTCGGCGCCCGTTCCTTCTTCCAGCCAGCTGCTGAGGAATCCCTGGGGCCACGTTGAGCAGCCTCTTCCGAGCTGCCTTGAAAACCTTCCCTCTGCCTTTGTAGCAGATGACAGGTTTGCCTCTCATCGTTTTGAATATACTCAGCACGCATTAAGATAAAACATCTATTCTGGGTATTTCCAGGGACATTTGAAAAGCCAAGGCCGACATAAAACATGCCATAATAGAACATTATTTGCTGCATGTCTAATGTTAGCTTCCTCCCTCCCTCTCTCCTTTCCTTTCTTCTGTCTCTCATTCCTCCCTCCCTCTCTCCCTTTCCTTCCAACTATCTTCCTTCCTTCCTTCCTTCCTTCCTTCCTTCCTCTAATACAAGAAAATAAAAAAGAGATGAGTGGAATATACATTGAAAACTTGCAAGAAATAAATAAAAGAAGACCTGTGAATAAGATCAAATTGTGCTTTAAAAAACAACAACACTGGATCACCCAGAATCATTCTTGCATCAATGCAGAGATAACCAAATGTTGAGAGGACGGGTGTTTTTATCAAAATGCACTTGCATTTCTCTCATCAGTGAGATTTCAGAGAACCTTCTGCTATCGTGACCGTACCATTAGTACTCATGGTTGGTGTTTCTTGCCTGGACTACCTGGCAGGAATGACAGAAGGGACAACAGGCCAGTAAAGGATGAATATATTAGGAATTTAAGCTTTTCAGGAGCTGAAGGCCTTTCGCTGCACCCCTTTAAAATCTAGGTTAGGTTTTCTTAGTTTCTAATGGACAGGCCGGCAAAATAGGAACCTTGATTATATTGTGTCCTTAAAGCCACCCAGGCCCTCCAAAATGAAAATCAAAGTCCAGACGTTTTGGAGAATGGCACCATAGGATGAGAGAATAACAGAGTTGGAAGGGACCTTGGAGGTCATCTAGTCCAACCCCCTGCTCAAGCAGGAAACCTACCATTTCAATCAAATGGTTGTCCAGTCTCTTCTCAAAAACCTCCAGTGATGGGGCACCCACAATTTCTGAAAACAAACCTTTCCTCTGGTTAATTGTTCTCACTGTCTGGAAGTTTCTCCTTAGTTCCAGGTTGCTTCTCTCCTTGGTTAGTTCCCATCCGTTGCTTCTTGTCCTGCCTTCAGGCGCTTTGGAACATAAGTTGACCCCCCTCTTCTTGGTGGCAGCCTCTCAAATACTGGAACGCTGCTATCATGTCGTCCCTATTTCTTCTTTGCATTAGACTAGACCACAGGTCAGCAACCTGCGGCTCCGGAGCCACATGTGGCACTTTGAGCCTTCCCCCTGCGGCTCCCAGCCTCCTCTGCCATTTGCAGAGACAGACAGAGACAGAGAGAGGCACTTCCCTTCCCCTCTCTCTCTCTCTCTCTCTCTTTCTCTCTGTGTGTTTGTGTTTGTGTTTGTGTGTAAAAAAGAGAGTGGACTCACGGTGTTCTCCCACGAGCTGAAAAGCTTATTGGGCGGAGCTCCTCCATTTGCTGCGCCTCTGCAGGAAGCAGGAAACAGGAAGCAGGAAGGGCAGGAGAGAGCTAGCTAGCCCAGCTAGGCTGACTCAGGAATTCTGGGAGTTGAAGTCCATGAGTCATAAAAGAGCCGAGGTTGCCTACCTCTGAGCTTGTTGGAGAACAGCTTGAAGCCAGCTTGCCAGTTGAGCAGAAGATCGGAGAGAGGGAGAGAAAGAGAGAGAGAGAGAGAGAGAGAGAGAGAGAGAGAGAGAGAGAGAGAGGAAGGGAGGGAGGGAGGGAGGGAGAGAGAAAAGAGAGAGAGAGAAAGAAAGAGAGTGGGGGAAGAGGACTGGCAGACTAAGGGCAGAAAGAGAGAGAGGGAGAGAGAGACAGAGAGAGAGACCCTTTTGACATCTAAAATGAAGATAACACTGCATATATCCTCTTTTACCTTTAAAATATATACACACACACACCTATAATAAAAGTAAAAAAAAGGATAT